TCAGATATATTTAAAAAATTATTTAAGATTATTTAATAAAATCACAGACAAGATATAAAGTAGATCTAAAACTTTATGAGATTTTACGTCATTCTATATTATCGATCGTACGAAAAATCAATACTTTTCTTGACAATTTAAGCCGAATTTAGTAATTATATTCAATTCAAACATATAAAAATATTAAATTTGATAAAATTAAAAAAATAAAAAAATCTTTTTTTTATTTTGTTATATCATTATAATATATTCTTAATTTTTATAATAAATTTTTTATATAATAATTTTAATTATAATTAATAATAATAGTAATTATATGTTTAATTCTTTTTTTGTCATAGCAATGTTATTTTTTTTTATTTTGAATCGATAACATCATATGTACATAAAGTTTCTATATGACAAAATTAAATTGGATGAGATGTCTATTTTATATTTAGTTTGTGATAAAGTGATTTAAAAATAAAAGGAATTTAAAAATAATAAATTCATTATATTTATATATTTAAGACATTATAAATAAGTTATCAATATAAAAATTAAAAAAAGAGAAAACAAAAAGAATTCTAATTATTTTTTATTTTTATCTGATTTGTAATTAAAAATTTGATAATATAAATAACGAAACTGCCACGCGGTAAAATTACCAATCTGTGTCTAATACGTCTGTTATCAATGACGGTATCATGGCAGTGTAGTGTCCGATGTTTTTCATATAGTAATTGACATATACTTGCACTAGGCAAGTAGTTAGTAAGAACGAACAACAATACACGATGGCGAAAATAATTTTGCTGTACTTATTGTTTGTTATATGTTCAATTCATCATTCATTGGCTTTTTATTTACCGGGTTTAGCGCCCGTGAATTATTGCAAAGTTGGAGAAACTTCTGAAACATGTAAAGTGCGTATGAAAAACTTTTAAATATTTCAAAAATTAATTATGACTACATTAGTTTATCATATTTTTTTTTCTTTTTATAAATATAAATACTTCACATTCGTTATTATAATACTTGTCAAGTATTAGTCATATTTTAATCTAATTTTTATTTTTGGTATTACATTAATTAAGGATTAATTTTTGGTAATTACAAATATCTTTTGACGTGGCCTTTCGTGACATGCGATTTATAGTATTGAAATTGAGCCATGAGGTTTTACTAGAAAATATAATTATTTGTATAATTTTTATGAGATATTCTTAATTCGACTTTGCGAATAAATATTTTATATTTAATTTGCATTTTGATTTGTATAATGAAATGTCAGCAATATATGAATTGTAAAAAATAATTGTTATTAATATATTTATATTCTTTATATAAATATTATATTCAATTTTTAAGTTTATGATTAATAAATTAAATACATCAATATATTTTAAAAATTATAAAAATTTAAATATATTTTTTTAAAATTTATTATTTATAATTTAC